TAGGGTCCCACATCATCCTTAGGCTTTCTTCTTTTTTTTTTTTCTGATTTTTCCTTAAACAAATTGGCGTCAAGGAATTTGTCCTCTATTTTGTTGATTCTGTCCTCCGTTGATGCAATTCTGCTCTTATGTCCTTCTACTGAGTTGTCTATTTCTGAAATTTTATTGTTAATAGTTTGGATTTCTAGTCACTCTTTTTGTATGGTTTCTAATTGTTTATTTTGTAGTTTTGTTTGTGTATTGTTTTCCTGAATTCTATTGCTTTATCTGTGTTTTCCCTGGCTTTGTGTTTTCCTTGGCTTTGTGTTTTCCTTGATCTCTTGAAGAACCCTATATAGTAGTCTTTTAAAGTCTTTATCTAGTAGTGCCATTACCATTTCTTCTTCTGGAAGGTTTTCTGATTGTGTATTTTGGTCACTTACTGGAGCCATCTTGTCTTGATTCTTTATGTGATTTGTCATTGTCTGTTGTTTGCGAGACATTAAGGTGTTATTGTATTTATTTACTTATTGTATGTTCGTTTGCTGTGTCCTGATTTTTCTCTCCTTTTGTTTTTATATATCAGAGTAGGCGGTGCATGCATGCTACTCTGGTCTCTGTCTGGCCACACTGGAGCGCTCACAACCTGTCGCTGGGTAGATGGAGCAGCAGCTGGGTGTGTGAATGCAGATCTCTGTTCTCTGGTCTTGCGGGATGGCTAAGGATATAGCTGGCATTGCTGGTGAGGTGATGTGTCTGTTAAGCCAGTCCCCTGGGTATGGATGCAGGAAACATTCTCACTGGTTGCTGAGTTAGATGTTGTGTGTGTGCAGTGCCAGTTGCCAGGTGGTTTGGACAAGGGTGCCTGAGTCACCATTCACCGCTTGTGTGGTATGGAAGCTCTCACTGATGGTCCCAGGTGGGTAGGATGGGCGTGGTCAGAGTAGGCAGTAGCCTCCTGTTGCAGGAGGGGGCGGTGGGGGGAGGATGAGGCAGGGGGAATGCCACCAGTCCATGGGTGCCCACTAGCAGGATGTGCCCCTGTCCACTAGAGTGCAACATGGGGGGAGGGTATGCTGTTGGTCCTTTGGCCCCCAGAACATGTGACTGGAGGGAGTAGAAGATGCCACTGGCCTGCAGGCCCCTGGCATGGATGACTGGGTGTAAGAGCAGGTACCCCTTGTTTGCGGGCTCCTGGCACCAGTGGTTGGGCAGAGGAGCAGGTGCCACTAGTCCATGGGCCCCCAGTGCAGGCAGCTGGATGTAGGAACGAGTGCCACCAATTCTCGGGCCCCTGGCACAGTTGGCTGGGAGGAAGAGGGGGTGCCACCAGTCCACGAACCCTGGCTCGAGTGACTGGGCTTAAGAACAGGCACTGCTGGTCCACAGGCCCCCAGCATCAGTGGGTGGGCAGAAGGGGGTTGCTGCTGGACCTCAAGCTCCTGGCATGGGTGGATGGGCAGAGAAGCAGACGCTGCTGCTCCACAGATCCCCAGTGCTAGCGGCCAGGCAGAGAGGCAGGTGCCACTGGTCCATGGGTCACAAGCACAAGTGGCTGAGCAAAGGGGTGGGAGCCGCTCGTCTGTGGGCCCCTGCCTTAGGGGATGGGGTGGTGGTGTGTGCCACTGGACTGAAATTGCATGCAGGGGAGGGGATGGATGATGGTGGTAGGGGGGCACTGCAGGTCCATGGGCCTCCAACATGGGGGTTGGAGATGGCATGGTAGATGAAGTTAGTGCACTTAACTTTTGTAGGGCAGGGAGCACTCCTACCTGGCTCTGCATGTGGGTGCAGAGTCGCTCCTGCTTGGCTGCACCAGGAGATGGGGGCTTTGGCTGGGAATGCTGCTTGCTTTGTCTTAATATGGCCATGCTGTGCAGGTTTGGCTGGAAGAACACTGATGATATGTAATTCTCTGTGTCTGCTGTTTTTGTAGTCTCTCCTTCCACCTGGCACTTGGTCTGATTCTTCAGCCTTGTCTTTGATGCTTGGGGTTCCAATGTTGTCGTCTATATCTGATTTAGTTGTTTTCTCCAGTCTTAGTTGTAAGAAGGACATTATGAGGTCTCTGACTATGCTTCCATCTTGGACTCCCCACCCTAAGCTTTTCTTTTATTTTAAAGAAACAAAATTGTCATTGTCTCTTCGCCTCATATAGAAGGTATTGTAGTTAAATGTAACTGTCATAAAATGAGTTCCGTTATGTGGCTCTCTGCCCGATTCTTTGGAAAAACAGCTTAAGAGATTTTTCCCCTAAGACCTGAGGAGTTGCCTTTGCCCTAGTTTTCTACCCTAGAGGGTTTGTTACTTTTCTCTAGATTGATTGACATTTCCTGGATAAACTGTAAACAACTTGTGGTTTGATACTTTTTGTCTGGCCGTGGGCTTCTGCCTGCCCTGTGATTGGTCTGTTTTATAAACCTTGCAGGGACTGGTCAATATACTCATGCAAATGAAGTGACTATAGCATGCTTATGCAAATGAAGTATCTGTGGTCTACCAAGAAGAGATTGGTCAGTTCGTGGCCCTGGTTGGAGGGCCATGCTTTGAAACTGATGAGGAGTTTCCTTATATAAGCAGCCAACCACACAGAAGTTAACAGACAGAAAGAAGGAAGAAGACAGAGGAAGGAAGAGGAGAGAAGAGAAAAGAAGCAGAAAGAGAGGAGGCAATGGACGTCCTAAAAGAGCTGTAACATAGGTCAAGGGCTGTAACGCTGAAGACAATGAGAGACCAGAAAGAGGCCCTTTGGCCAAGCCGGCAGTGATAGGCCTGGAAAGGGCCCTGCGGCAGAGTCAGTGGTAATGGCAGAAACTTGCTGTTAGGAATGCAGCTAAGAGAGCGGAACAAAACTGCTACACTGACTATGAGTTGGGTCAGTTAGCAGTGAAGAGGCCGGTGGCAGGGAAGCTGAAGGCAGAGAGGCCTATCCTGAGGCGGCTGGGAGGAGGCCTGTCCTGAGCAGGGATGGGACTGAGAAGAAACCTATCCTCAGGGGGCCAAGAGGAGGCCTGTCCTGAGGGGGCTGAAAGGAGGCCTGCATGGCTGAGAGGGGGTGAGCACGGCAGAGAGAAGGGCCCACTTGCTTGCAGAGCTGAGAGGAGCTGAGAGAGCTGTCCTGCATTGAAAAAGGGAGGGACGTGCTCCACCCTTCAGGGAAGTCTTCCAGACTTTGCCTGTGTGTTTTCTGATCCTGCTTCTGTTGATCCTGATCTCGAGTTATACCCTGCTATTTCCTTAATAAACCACTTAACTGTAAGTATGGTCTGTGAGTTCTGTGTGGCCATTGCAATGGATTATCAAACCCATCAAAGAAGTGGAAAGTGCTGTGGGAGGGACGGCTGTTGTCAGAACTGGTAAAAAGCTTGGAAAGCAGAGGTATGTCTGACCTCCACCTCATAGGAATCAACTTTGGGTTGATCTTGGACACTACCATTTCACAGTAACCAACCATTTATTAGAGCTGTGGGAGCAGCAGGCACTGACTGCTCATTACTAGGCATAATAATAATAATAAACTAACTTCTATAAGAAATTATTGATATATGACAACTCTAACTCTAATCATTTATTGACTTTTTCCCGTGTTACTTTGTATTTACATTTAGCTCATTATGTACTCGGATCTGTTTACCTACCTCATTTCCTAATGTTTGATCTATTTTGTTTGCTAAACTATATTTTAAAGGATTAATTAGCTTTGATGCTATTTACCAACAGCAGTGGTGGCGCAGTGGTTAAGCACTCAGCTGATAATCGAAAAGTCGGCAGTTGGAACCCACCAGCTGCTCCGCAGGAGAAAGATGTGGCAGTCTGCTTCTGTAATGATTACAGCCTTGGAAACCCTGTGGGACAGTTCTACTCGGTCCTAGGGTCGTTATGAATTGGAATCGACTCGATGGCAATGGGTTTTTTTTTTTTTAATGTGAGTTTTAATCTACCAATGAAATTAAAGAAAACCCTCAATGAGATGGATTGACGCAATAGCCACAACAATGGACTCAAACATACCAATGATCATGAAGATGGCCTGGGACCTGGCAATGTTTCGATCTTGCTGTTGTGCATGGGGTCACCATGAGTCCGAGGAGACTTGAAGCAACTAACAACATCAACAATCTGCCTAAAAACTCAAATTCATGGTTAGAAACTTAGGATCTAAGATGATCAGAATATTTTTTCCAATTCTAGGGACAAAATTCATGAAACCGAAGTGGAATTAAAGCAGTTCTGTGGCAAAGTATCAATAGCCCTGCACTCAGCTAGGACATGTTTTCATTTCTTGCTAGAGGCCGGACTGAGGAGAGTTTTTAGTGAACTAGATTTACATGGACTAGAGATTTACATGGACTAGAGTAGCAAAAGGAAAGTAGATCCGCAGCTAAAACCATTGCTGAAATATTGCAAATATTATGAAGTTGAAATGTTTCCTAAATGAACAAATGTCCTCTTTCATGTTATATCGTACATGTGAGTTTTTAAGGAAAAGTAAATTTTGCTACATTTGGGGGAGATACATTACATTTATGGTAGACAATAATAATAGCAATTGTTGCTAAATTTAATTTAGCCAAAAGTTTTTTTTAGGCTTTAGCAAAAAAATTAAGACTTTCTTACTCTCATACATTGCTAGTGGGAATTAAAAATACTATAACTCCTGTGGAGGGGAATTTGGCAGTGTCTAGCAAAATTAAATATTCATTCATCCTTTGGTCCAGCAATCCTACTTTGAGACTCTGTAATGCATAGTATTTTCAACTTTGGCTTCTACAATATTTAGTCATAATAAATTTCAGATATAATCATGGAAGCTTGCTATAGCTTTTCAGTGATTTTGTTTTTTCTAGTTTTTTCTAGTACAATATGACGTTGAAATTTTGAAAAAATAATATTTTCCTTTAAAACATAAAAATCTTATCCACGTAATTATTTTATCAACTAAAAGCTTTTTTAAAGTCAAATTGTTTTTCCTTCAAGCCTCTTCGAGTGAATAATCAATTTATTGTTTGGTTTGTTTCCAGATAACCTTTTTCATGCTGCTTTCTGCAGTGTGTGTAATGCTGAACTTGGCTGGTTCAATTCTCTCCTGTCAGAATGCTCAGCTGGTCAACTCCCTAGAAGGCTGTCAGTTGGTGAGTGACAAAATACAGACCTTTTAGTAAAGGACAAGGGCTTTGAATTTGCATGAGAGCAATTTCAAAGTAATTTATTGTATCCTTAAGTTTTATGCAATCTTTCCATTTAATTATGATATTTTCTGGTTGTGTAAAGAATTTAAGTGGATTCATTTCTACAAAAAATCCCCTAAATTAAAACTTGTTCTGGGGTAGCGGGTAAGGGGTTTTCTTTTGGGATGATGAAAATGTTTTGGAAATAGATAGAAGTGGTGGTGCACAATTGTGAATGTAGTAAATGCCACCAAATTGTTCACTTTAAATTTTTAAAATTACCTTATTTGTTCCCCCCCAGCCCACCCCGACACACACAAAATTGTTCTGCTGGTAAATAAATGAATTACTAGTAGTCAGTATACTTCAAAGAATCACAGCATAGAATTATGTTTTGAATACATGTCTTTGTAATTTATTATCATTTGTTGCATTGATTTTTATTTGCGCTGAGTTTTTAAAAATCAGTCTGGTAAGTTAATTTTAAGTGCTAGTATAAATATAAACTTGATAATGACAGCATCAAAACAATATAGTTCTCAGGTTTCAGTTAAAAAGATACATGTCTATTAGGCCCAGGAAAACTGTATATAGACAGTGTGTAGACATTGTAAAGGATCAAGAAATGGTTTGTTGGATAGAACTGCCATTCTGAGATGACTTAGCTTGTGGTACTACAGTACGTGTCTTTGGCTGGGACAACAATTAAGATGTGCCCGGCTGCATGCAGCTATGGGTGTGGTTTGACCTGATGTGACCATAGCTGCTGGGTGCAGTGGTGCTGGCTTTGTTTCTGTATCTCAGAGACTTCACAGGGCTAGCTTGTAGAGCCATGTTCCTCCACAGCTGCCCATCCACTTGTTTTCCAACGACTGTCATTTCTGAGAAGTCAGTAGCTATACTGAGTTACCTGAAGCTTTCCTGTAGCAAGGCCATGCCTACTTTTCTCATAGCCATGCCATTTGGATTCAAAGGGGTAGCTGTTGGGAAGCCGGCCACTCTCTAATTACTGATCTACCAAGGCTGGCAGAGCTACTGTAAGTTGGCACAGCTTCAATCCTGAAGCACCTACTGAGTTCTAAAAACTAACTGTTAGTGCTTAATCTTGCCATTTTCTGTTCGGTATGGCCTAGGTAACACCGATCAGCTTTTATCCCCAATATGATGGACATACATGTATCCTCGGTACAGTGCAGTCTTCCCTGGGATTACTAAGATCCCCATCTCCATCAGAAAGGGAAGACTGCCATATTCTGTCCATAACTTGGTCAGCCTCTTTATTCCTAATACTAGGTGCCTGCAGATATACTAAAATCTGGAACCTACAAGGGACTGACCATTCATTTTTTTCTCTGCTCCCCATTTTCCAATGCAAGGCCTTGTGTGTGGGAGACAGACAGATTGGGGTGACGGAAGCCCCAGGACTGGGGAGGTCCAGATCAAACCAAAAACCCACCCACAGTGCCACAGTGAAAGTTTTCCAATCTAGCAATATTTTCCTTTGTAGTTTTACCTTGGTGCCATGCTTAAAAAGACCTTCCCCCTAGAATGAAGAAAAGCAAAGACACAAGGGAAAGATTAGTCCAAAGGACTAATGGACCACAACTACCACAGCCTCCACCAGACTGAGTCCAGCACAACTAGATGATGCCTGGCTACCACCACTGACTGCTCTGACAGGGATCACAATAGAGGGTCCCAGACAGAGCTGGAGAAAAATGTAGAACAAAATTTTAACTCACAAAAAAGACCAGACTTACTGGTCTGACCGAGACTGGAGGAACCCCAAGAATATAGCCCCCGGACACCCTTTTAGCTCAGTAATGAGGTCACTCCTGAGGTTTACCCTTCAGCCAAAGATTAGACAGACCCATAAAATAAAACGAGACTAAGTGGGCAGACCAGCCCAGGGCAAGGACAAGAAGGCAGGAGGGGACAAGAAAGCTGGTAATAGGGAAGCTGAGGTCGAGAAGGGAGAGTGTTGACATGTCACAGGGTAGCAACCAATGTCACAAAACAATACATGTACTAATTGTTTAATGAGAAGCTAGTTTGTTCTGTAAACTTTCATCTAAAGTACAATTAAAAAAAAGTTAAAAAAAAAAGACCTTCGCTAGATCATATTTTCCAGTAATTTCCCAGATAATGGTGTGCTTTTATTTTTTACAGTCAAATATTTAATGATTCTAGAATTTATTTGATGAATTTAACTTTTTCTCCACAAATGGCTAACTAGTTTTTCTAAAACTATTCCGCAAGTAACCTAGCATTTCCCTGCTTATTTAAAACGTCACCTGAATCATTAAGTTCTTTGGTGGCAAGTTACAAATGCTGACAAAGTTAAAGGACATTTATTGGGAGGATGGTGGAGCCTATACCGCAACCCAGGAGGCTAGATATCAGACTTGGAAACGTGGTTCCAAGGAAACTTCTGTGGACCCAGAAGCCTTACCTGCAGTGGGGCCTACAGCAAGAACCTTGGATTCACTAGGGCCAGGTTCTGCAGAAGGGAGCAGCTCCAGTGGTTCCAGTGGTCTTCCTTGTCCATTTGCTCAAGAGTCAAATCCAAGGATGGAGCATTTGATTGGCTAGGGCAGGACAGGGAGTCTAGTTAACTGTTCTACCAGATTCAATCCAATGGGTTTTAAGAGGTAATTCCCAAAAAGGAAGTTAGATGCTTTTATAAAGGCTTGGGGATAGGGGTAGGCAGGAAATGTATGCTAGGTAATAAAGAAAAAGCCAACATCTACTCTACTTACATTATTATATATATGCATACACATACATAGATACTCATGTCCATCTATTTCTAGACTTTTCATTCCATCCCATTCCTATGTCAGTTTATTCATATTCTAGAACAACATTATTATAGTTACTTTAATTTTTGTGTGTGTGTGTCGTTTAGGTGAAACTTTACAGCTCAAATTAGTTTCTTATGAAAAAATTTATATATACATTGTTATGTGACCCTAGTTGCTATTCCTATAATGTAACTGCACCCTGGATTTCCCGTGTTGATTCAACCAGCTCCTATCCCTTTCTGCCTTCTCATCTCCCCTCTGGAGAGGAACTGCCCATTTAGTCTCGTGTATCTACTTGAACTAAGAAGCACACTGTTCACGAGTGTCATTTTACGTCTTATACTCCAGTCTATTCTTTGTCTGAAGATGGCTTCAGGAATGGTTTTAGTTCTGGGTTAACAGAGAGTCCAGGGGCCATGTCTTCTGCGGTTCCTCCAGTCTCAGTCAGACCATTAAGTCTGGTTTTTTTACTACAATTTGAGTTCTGCACCCACTTTTCTCCTGCTCCGTCAGGGACTCTGTTGTGTTCCGTTTCAGGGCGGTCATTGGTGGTAGCCAGGCATCATCTAGTTCTTCTGGTCTCAGGCTGATGGAGTCTCTGGTTTATGTGCCCACATTTGTCTCTTGGGATAATATTTTCCTTGTGTCTTTGGTATTCTTCATTCTCCTTTGCTCCAGGTGGGTTGGGACCAATTGATGCAGCTTAGATAGCTGCTCACTAGCTTTTAAGATCCCAGACACCACTCATCAAATTGGGATGCGGAACATTTTCTTAATCAACTTTGTTATGCCAATTGACCTAGATGTCCCCTGAAACTATGGTCCCCAGACCCCTGTCCCTGCTACTCTGTCCCTCAAAGTGTTTGGTTGTGTTCAGGAAACTTCTTAGCTTTTGGTTTAGTCCAGTGGTGCTGACTTCCCCTGTATTGTGTGATATCCTTTCCTTCACCTAAGATAATTCTTGTCGATTATCTAGTTAGTAAATTTCTCTCTCCCTCCCTCCCCACCATCGTAACCGTCAAAGAATGTTTTCTTCTCTGTTTAAACCTTTTCTTGAGTTCTTATAATAGTCGTCTCATACAATATTTGTCCTTTTGCGACTGACTAATTTCACTTAGCATAATGCCTTCCACATTCATCCATGTTTCGAGATGTTTCGAGGATTCATTGTTGTTCTTTATCTTTGTGTTGTACTCCATTGTATGACTATACCATAATTTGTTTTTCCATTCATCCATTGATGGGCAGCTAGGTTGTTTCCATTTTTTTGCTATTGTGAACAGTGCTGCAATGAACATGGGTGTGAGTATATCTATTCGTGTGATGGCTCTTGTTTCTGTTGTGTCCCCCAGAAATGTCTGTCAGCTTGGCTGGATCATGATTCCCAGTGTTGTATGATTGTGTAATCTGATGTGATTTCCTTATGTATTGTAAATTCTATCACTATGATGAGATTATATGTGATCTGTTTATGTGTTGTAAATTCTGTCACTGTGATGAGGTTATACTGATGAGGTTGACAAGATTAGATAGTGTCTTAACACAATCTCTTTTGAGATATAAAAGAGAAAAGTGAGCAGAGACACATGGGAACCTCATACCACCAAGAAAGCAGTGCCAGGAACAGAGCACATCCTTTGGATCTGAGGTTCCTGCGCTGAAATGCTCCCAAACCAAGGAAAGACTGATGACAAGGACCTTCCTCCAGAGCCGAAAGAGAGAGAGAGCCTTTTCCTGGAGCTGATGCCCTGAATTTGGAGTTGTAGCCTACTGGACTGTGAGAGAATAAACTTCTCTTTGCTAAATCCATCCACTTGTTAGAGCAGCACTAGATGACTAAGACATTCCAAGGAGCGGGATTGCTTGATCGTATGGTATTTCTATTTCTAGCTTTTTAAGGAAGCGCCAAATTGATTTCCACAGTGGTTGCACCATTTTACATTCCCACCAACAGTGTTCCAGTCTCTCTACAACCTCTCCAACATTTATTATTTGATGTTTTTTGGATTAATGCTAACCTTGTTGGGGTGAGATGGTATCTCATTGTAGTTTCGATTTGCATTTCTCTAATGGCTAATGACCGTGAGCATTTCCTTATGTATCTGTTAGCTGCCTGAATGTTTTCTGTTCATATCCTTTGCCCATTTTTAAATTGGGTTG